TGATGCAAAGCTTGTTTGTTTTAACTTCTTGGCTTAAGAATCACTATTCTCAGTGTTATTGATTTTCCCTCTATGTGAGTTTGAATTTCTGGACCTCTCATTTTTGTAGTTCTGAAATTCAAAATGTGAAAAGAAATTTGCACCTCCAATAGAAAAGTGACACAAGTGTGAATTTCTGATTTCTCAGAAATTGCAATTTTAAGTATTGTAGTTCTGTAATATTCGTTATAGATTGTACCACATATTCACCTTCTAGCAGGCAGTAATTGAACTAATTGAAAATCAACTTCAGAATAGTAGCCGTAGCTCTTGGTAACCTCTTATCAGCTTTTAGCTGAAAAATGACTATTTCGCACTTGTGTCACTTTTCTATTGGAGGTGCAAATTACCAGTTCCCTAGTAAAAAGAATGACCAGTGGAATCCATGGTCTATTGTACATCATTGTGTGCATTTTAAAATTTCAAATATAGTGTTTATTATTTTTAGATATTTAAAGATGTGTGGATGCCTTGGGGGATTATTTTGAAGGTTATTAACTCAGAAGAGTACGAATATTACGTGTAGTTTTGTTTTGTGTATATGTAATACAAATAAAATAATGATCTTTATTTTCACACCTCTCAAAGTCATTGCAAAGAACATTCCAGCGACATTCAAATGTATATCCGGTTTGTTTCTTTCATTTTTATTGACTGATAAAAAATAGTTGCCATGACTTCTGAAATGACTCTCATAGTTTTAGCAGCACTATATAACTTTTTCCAATTTTTTTCTTCAATTTTTCTATGGATTGAACCAGAAGTTCTTAAAAGAATGGCACAGAATGCAAATTTAGAAATATGCGAGAAAGTATGTGCTGTTGTAGCACTGCTTGTTTAAATATTAAAATATTTCATATCAATATTTTAAATCTAAGGTAAAGAGAGTTTTGCATGTAATGCGTGTATGGGGTGAAGGCTTATACGAACAAGTATGAGAGTTTACGTCAACTGAAGGAACAACATAAAATATTCAGAGGTATGGATTGAACATAGAATGAGTAAGTTATAATGTGTTACGTAATGTTATGTGAAAATGTCTACTTTGAAATACAAGAATGTAATGGCTGATGGTTTGAATAGAAAGAAAGAAAATCTTAACAAAATGTTTGTGACTATGCATTCTTGATGCAAAATCTATTTTAATTTGCTTATTCTATTTCTTTGGGTTGCAGACAATTTGTGTTTGCGTGTGTGCAATATTTAAAGGGCATGTTTCAGAGCTAAAATCTAATTAACTTCCCTGCTCTGGTTATTAGAATGTCTTTAAAAACAGGAGGTTGTTTTTTTTCCCTTCCACTGTATACGTAAAATTTATCAATATTTACTTAATAAAATTAACTTTATCATTTCCTTGTCCCCTCTCTGTTCTTTCTTTTTCCTTCCCTGTCCTTCTCCCCTACCAATGTCTTTTTAGACATCCTTCTCTTCTAGTTTTGCCCTGTATCATTTGGCCACAAATCCTAATTGTCAAAAAGCATTACAACAAGAGTGCCGTGAACTACTGCCTACCCAAGAATCTCCTGTTACATTGGAGGTGTTGGACAAAGCTCAGTATACTCGTGCTGTCATCAAAGAATCTCTGAGATTGAATCCAGTTTCTGTTGGAGTCGGTCGCATCCTCCCTGAAGATGTAATCTTAAGTGGTTATCATGTTCCCAAAGGGGTAAGACTTGTTTCAATCTGCAATATAACATTTTTCACTGTATATTTCCTATTTTACTGTTTTGAATTTCAAAATATAAAGAAAAATGCATGTAGTAAAACTATCAAGGATTTTACATTTCTACACGCAAAAGAGTTCTTTCAATTCTTCTTTATACTTTACTTTTGAATCAATTTTTGAAACTTTCATTAAGATGCCATTAATATTAAGTCTGATCAGAAAACTAATAAGTGTAACTGCCGATTCTGCCTTGTAATTTATTTATTTTGTGTTCATTTTTAACCTTGCAGACAAATATTGTTACTCAAAATCAAGTGGCATGTAGATTATCTGAATATTTTCCTAACCCAAACAGTTTTATACCAGAACGTTGGATCAAATCAAGTTCTTTATTTCAAAAACCACATCCATTCCTTCTTTTGCCCTTTGGGCATGGTCCAAGATCTTGTATTGCACGTCGCCTAGCTGAACAAAACATGCATATGTTATTTCTAAAGGTGAGATTACTTACCACTTCATTGAAATAATAGATAAAGATAGAATATGTGTACTGTTAATATTTCATGTTTCTGAAACAATAAAAGATTACTTTTGGTGAAACACTGATAAAATCCATGAGAGAATGTTCATGTATCACAATAAAATTACAGCAATTGTTTATTTTCACAGATCTTCCGAAATTATGATGTTAAGTGGTGTGGTGGAACTTTGGATTGCAGATCGCTTCCTAATAAACCTGATCAACCTCTGTTGTTATCATTTAAATCTGTGGATTATTAATGGTCTTAAATGAGAATATCAAAAGACCACACTTTGTGGAAAGGGTAATAAAAATAATATGAAGGTGCAAGGAAAAACAAAAGAGTTTTTAAAAATAAATAAAAATATTTTTGCTTTGTGGATACATTTTATTAATGAATACTGTCTGCATTGATTTTTACTTTTTAATAAAAGAGCATTTGAAAATAGATTGTGAATTTATTTCTGCTTGTACTACTTCTTATTTTTGATTAGCTGAAGCACACAATTGGACAGGGAAGTGTGCCCCCTTTATAATACCCTGCGCCCTGATCCCACTGGCCTGTGGCGTCACGTCACTTGCCGTGCCATACCATTCCGCCACTGCCGGACCAGGCAGTTGCTACGGACACATTGTTGCATTCTCACGGAAAACTCCAGTATTAATGTTGGCTCTCAATTACAGCCTAAATTCTAATTTCGCTCTCGGAATAAAATTATCAAAATGCATTTAGTAGGAACTTCTGTGGAATTAGGAAACGTTTAATTCAAGCATTTGTTTTTTTATATATATTCGCGAAGAACTGAAAGACTGCACTTTTGATGTGATTTGTCTTATTTTTCGTCGAAGAGAAAGAAGGGGGAAATCATTCTATTGTTCTATTAACAAGAGTTATCAATGTTTAGAAAAATGCCACTGGAATAACCGTTATTTTTTAAAATTGCGCACATTGCATGCAATTTGCGCGAAAACTACTAAAATTTTCAAAAAAGCACATAGCCGTGGCCATTTTCAAAAATAATTTAAGAAATCAAAATTTTGAAATTTTCGAGAAAATAGAGTTTACTGTGAAAAAGGATGCAGTTTTCACGGACGGACGGACGAACGAACGAGCATTACATACCTTTTCCTTATACTACTTGTATTAATCCGCGTATACGTACGTATACGAAAAAAAATAAAAAAACAAAATAAAGAATATTTTTAAAAAGCGCGAGTTTAGCAACATTTAAAAAACTAGAAAATTTCGTTCCTGAGTTATAGAAAACTTTGCATCGATAAATGAACTGTTGCTTTGATTTTTCTGCATTGCTAACAAAATAGTAACTCACACTCAGCTCTATTCCTACCACTATATGCAAAAGGATAACTCAATAAAACGTGTACATAATGAAGCTATATTTATGTTCAAAAGCAAAACCAGAGGTCATCTTAGCATTTGCTAAATGGACCAGGGAAACTGGACAAAAATTGTGATAGAGACAGGAATCATTGACCCAGAAGCTGAAGTGCATTAGGCTACTTCTGTAGAAACAGTAAAGCAGCTGAAAAGATTTTTCTTTGTACTTAATTTTGTGTACAGATTGTAATTGTTTAATATCATCAGGAAAATATACAATTCTCCACCGTTAAGTCGGATTTAACAAAAATTATGGATTCGTAAATAAATAGGCATGGCAATGGTAAGATTACAAGCTCAATGAAGAGCTTCTAGGGATTACACCTATGGCATTTTTTAATTATTTGAATAATTTTCTTTTGCAAACTAACAAACCCTTAAGAGGTTTAGTGAGTCTGGTGGTGCAGGGGTAGAATAATGTGTGGCATGCTACACTTAAGAACCTGAAGTTGAATCCCACTGGAGGGGAGGGGGAGGTAATTTTATTGAAAAGCAATTTACTGTTCAAAAGAAAGAGTAGGACATAAGTTATTGTAAACAAAAAAAAGGTGTTTGAAAACACTTTTGCACAGTATTATATTACAGAACGGTTGCAGATAATACCAGAAGGTACATGCTATCATTTCACCAATAGTTCTTTTTTTCTCAAATAACGTTCACTTAACAGCATGCCTTCGGTCCGATAGTCATTAGGACCTTTGAAATGTCCATGATAGCATAAACTCAACTATAATTTGCTGGTGTGGAACCATTGTTTGAATGCCAGCAGTCAGGTGGTCTAATGGATAAGTTCATTGCTTGTGAAACATCTATATCTGAGTTTGAATCCTAGCATGGTCAAATAATTTCTCTGTTCTTTACTTGAAAACATTTTTGCAAGTTCAAGTAGTATTTTCACATTTAATTGCCAGAGAAAATAAACATATGTCCTTTTTGGAATTGTAAATATTCTTCCAATAATAACAGTGCAATAATAATACAACAGTTTAAACACAGAACAAATTCCAAAACTGTATCTCAACATTGTAAAGATACGAGGAGGTAAATCACATTAAGATTCAAGGTGGCATAAAGTATATGTTCACATTGTGTTTGTGATGTTTAAAGGATCAAAAATTCTCTCGATCATCGCATAAAGTATACTTTTAACAGGTTGTAGTAATCATTTAAGAAAGAACTTCACTAATAAACTAGGTTTCTAAGATTTTAGAGTTGGAGGTCTTTCTATATTTCAATGACAGATGAAGATTAAGAGTAAACAAATGTGTAATCAAAACTTATTTCAAATAAACAAATTGCATTCTTTATTACGAAAATATCTGTAAATAATTTAAGAAATCCATGTTCAAATAGTCTTTAAAATTACTAAAACATAAAATATATAATTTTCAAATTATTTAATATTTCATTAAAGACTTTCAATAAAAATTTGCATTGGTGGCACACTGAGAATGAGCCTCCAGCAGCTCACAAGAAACATTTAAATTAATTGAATCGTATTAACAGGAATGTGTGTTCAATATTTAATAGAAATTATTACGAGTTAAATATTCACATGTTATCATCAAGTTTATTGTGACATTTTAAATGAAAGCACTCGTATTAAACTTCTGCATCCCAATGATTAAATTATCTGCAATTTGAAGTTGGTATCTGGACAGGATTCCAAATTTCTAGGGTAAATGAAAATATAATCTCTGAACAAACAGATTGGCACTTGCTCAATAAATATAAAAATTAATATATGAATAAAATGATTTATTAGATTAATCCCACCTTATAAATAAGTTTTTCAATTAACAATGTAAGTAGGATATGTAGTTTCTTGGTAAAATTAGCACAATTATAACAAAGAATTGAACTAATATGTATTTTACTTAACACTGGAGCACAAGAAAAGTGACACTTCACAAAAGTGTGATTTTGCAAATGTTTTTATTTTGAGTAGGGACATTTATTTTGTGTCCAATACAAAGTCTTTTACTTTATATATTACTGGCTCTCTTGTTAACTATTTTTACACTATATTTTTCACTCCCTTCACATAAAAATAATAATATCTGAATCATGTCACTTTTCTTGTGCACAGACGATGTGTCTTGTTATTACATCACCATACATATTTACTTTAAATAAACATACATAATTGACATTGTATTACATAAAACACAAGTATCCACTTTTCTCTCAGTTACAAAAAACAAGAAGCTCATGCAACTATTTCTGAGCAATAAATTCTACAGTAAATATTTGTACTGAACACATTACAAAATATTCAAGATTCAAAAAAGAAAAGAAAAAAACTAATAAGATATACATGTACTTTAAAACAACTTTAAAGCTTTGCTGATTTATTTTATTTATTTAAAACTGTTTTTTTATGCAAAACATTACTTGTATGGAGACGATTGCCCTCTTCAGTCTTACTAGAGAAAACTTCAGTAACAAAAGTTTGAATCAAATATTTTCAAGTTAATGATGGCTGTCATATTATACATCATATAAAAGGAGCTGAATATCAATGTCTGAACTGCGCAAGTACTTTAAAGATGCATTGTTACAGGAAAATTACAGTACAAGTAATGAACGTCCTGAAACTTTGTAAAACATTACATCTCCGAAATAAATTGTATTTTCTCAAAAATGGGGAAAAATAGCAACTTGAACATTATTTTTAAGATCAATAAATGATAAATCGAATCAGTTCTTTAACCCATATGTGGAAGTGATATTCCAAAAGTAATACTTACTAAACTTAGTTACCCCAAGTATTAATAGGGGCAAAATGTATTTCTTCATTACAGTACTTGTGAAACAACTTATTGATTTCATCACATCAGATTTCTTGAAAGTATTTTGAAAATCATCAATTCTCAATATTAAAACAGTTAGAATCAGTTTAAAAAGAAGAAAAACAAAGAAAAGCAAAATCCTGTTTTAAATGATTCAGCGGTTTAAATTTTGCCTCACTATTTTCAATAATTAATGAAAATACTTGATGCAAAAAAACAGTTCTTTACTGTACATACATTTTCATTACAGTTGTATTTAAATATGTGCAGTAATGTGTGTAACGATTTGCTTCCTTCAAGTATCTTGTGCAAGAAAAATGAGAAATAATGCAATCAATCAGGTCAGTCATACACATAGGAAAATAAAAGAAGATCAGAATTTAATGAACTACCTACCTCAATCAAGAAAGTGATAAATATTATTCATTTAGTTCAGCAGAGGATTCAGCTCATTATTAAAAGATACAATTAACAACTACTTTTACTTTTAGGCACTGACAATGTTAAAATTCAAATGAAAAAAATAAAAATAAGAAATTTGTTTCAAACCATCTACCATTTCTCATCTTTCATTACATACGAGTCCTTTTAAAAAACATAAAACAATGTCCAATGTCATAATCATTCCACTGGATCACACAAGCAGTGTTGTATTTAGGCGATAACAAATGCTAAATTTATTTGTATGACAAGGCTTTACAGAAAATTTGAGCAATAAATCACAATTAATTTCCCAGTTATTGTAATACAACAGAAATACAGCATTATATAATTTGTTAAAACAGGATGCAGTGGTTGATCAGAGATTTATGGTGGCCACTAGGTCTTGTATTAAAACATACTTACGGCTCATTATATAATTTCTAATGATAACAAGGTTACTTATTAGTTTTAAATATTGTTAGTGTGTCCAATATGTGGTTTTCTAAATCATCATTCTTCTATTTTTCTTTAGAATTGTTGGGTTCACTATGGTGGAGAATTTGAATGGTTGGTGGTTGTTTTTTTTCCCATGATTTGTGCCACATAGTAGTATTGAAAGCTATCCAGTGGTGTCAAGAGTGTTTTTATTTTATTATCTCAACCCATTTGCAAAAAATTGATGAACATTTTTGACTCTTATGTACGCGAGTACATGTGGAGAAGGAAAGTTCGTGATGTTGATACGATGAAAGAATTTCTGAGAGAATCATAAATGTTTCCCACCAGAATGATTAAGTAAGTTTACTTTTTTATCTCTGCTTTGTAGTTTTGTGTAAGTAATTATGCTAGTGGAAGTTTCGTGTAAGTAATTGTGCTAGAGTTCTTGTAAGTGGGCAAGTAGAAGTGCAAGTCAGTTCAATAAAAGACCCTTTAAAAGAAATTCTCTAAAAAGTGAGGAAGGTTTATAAATAGCGTGAGTGCTAAGAGTGAGAGCAAAGGCTCTCAATCTCAAGGAGAGCAACCAGGTTGCGAGAGCAGAAGCCCGAAGACCTCACTGAACGTAGCACTGTAGGTCATCACAGACCTCTTGGTGTCAAATGCGTTAGATAATACTGTTGGCTATAAAATTAAATTTCTAGCATGAACAATACAAACTGAAATAATCAGTTCATTGATTCAAATTAATCAATTCATTTGAATCACTGAATCAAAAGAAGAGTGGCCACCATAAACTTCCAATTTATGCAATCACAAACACAATAGAAAGATATTTATACCTTTATATAATGAAGAAAAAAATAGCAACTCACAATCACATACAATAAGAAAACCTGCCACATACAATGCTACACACAATATTAAGAAAATAATTAACATAATTCTGTGATAAGCTGGCCTAATGATACCCATAATTTTCATTTAAAACTATTTATTTTTATATTCACTAGATTCACTCTTGTTGGAGAGATGCAGCAAATAAATCTGTGGGTCGGAGGTATAAGACTCTATGTTCATTTTTGGCCAAAATAAGATTGGTATAATAATATGAGCTTTTTGCCCTCTAACCAGGGGTATACTACACTATGTCCTACATGTAATAATGGTGGAGTTATGGTGCTATAAAATAATACCAAGTCCACTTTCACTTAGAGGTATGCAAACCTTCAAACAGCTCTCCTGTAAAATTTAGTAAATGTGACATAGTGTCCTATACCTCCGACCCACAGAAATAATAAAGGAATTACAACAGTAATTAATTCTTAGATGTTTTGCAAAATTGGGAAACTTGAGTACACAATGGGTCGTGAACAAGGAGGAGAATTTTGGAGAGGAGATTTCAAATTATTAAAATATAAAGCTCACCTTGGAAACCCTCATCAGCATAACATTAAAGAATTGGTAAACGTGAAAGACGACTTTTGGAGCAATTCAAAGACACGTTCCTAATCCTAAGAAAAAGTCATCAACACATTTCTTAACTCTTTTGTTAGTCAAAATAAAATAAGATTTATGACATATCAGAAAAAAATATCCTAGATGGAGTGAATTAAACTATAGGAATGATCTGAAGTTGAGAGACAGATCTATTACAAGGGAAATATTTTCCACAAATTTTTGCAATTTACTCACTTGATTAATAATTAATCCAGGCTAATCCTAGCACATGTTCTGGAAAATACACCAATGTAAGATTGTTGTAATACAACGGGGTTTCTGAAGATGATCATTTAGGAAACACTGCTCTAGTAATGAACAAATTAAAGTTCAATACACCAATTCTTAATCTCATGAAAAGCAGAAGTATGGTTCTACAGATTACGAAGAAATTGGAAACATAATATTTTATCACTAATATAACATCTAATAAACTTTGGTAGCACAAGAGAATTGTAGGAAACTAACATTTTTTGGAGGAATGAGCTCATTTCTGAAAGCAATTTCAGTTGCTTTGGATTTATTGTGCATTTGAAAGGCAGTCCTCCAAAAATTAATATTATTCTCCAACCTTCAGAATATGTAATATAAAAATCAAGCAAAGTTTACGAATTTGAATTTGTAAAATATTTCTTTTCAATATTCTGAAAATAGCAGCATAATACTTGTATCTACTTAATTAGGTCAATAAACTCTTGCACATATAACAATAATAATTCAAGAGAAAATTACTTCGAATACTACGCTCTTCTTCATTAAAAGATAAAAAATATATAATTTGAGTTTTCATTACATTAATCCTTTCATTCAGTATAATGTAGCATACTTTCAAATCTGATGGCATTTAGTCAAAACATTATATCAAATCGGTTAATATCCTGCGAATTCTATTTTCTCTCTCTCTCTCTCTTTCTTTCTTTCTTTCTTTTCCTTCTTCTGTTACCTACTTACAGAAAGTGGGGATTCTAATTATGAAAGAAACTTCACTTAAAATATTTCTGATCATACAAATTCCAAAAATATCAAGCGCAGATGCTCCATGAAAGCTGCCCAAAAATTTCGAAATTTTCATGGCTCTCAATTACTTTGTACATTTGTTCCATTATTAGCAATACACACAACAAATATGCATCAACACCATTGCTGAAAACCCTGTACGTTCATAACAATGTTCAGGCACCTACAGTCACCACTTAAACTCAAATGCACCAAAATCATCAGTTACAAATTACATTTTAGGAAATTCTTTAAAATTAACTTCATTAGAATCACTACTCTCCACTACTCTGCCAGTTAAATTTTCTAAATTAAACTGAAAAGACTCAATAACTAATGTCTTGATAAAACAGCTATAAATAAGACCACCCAAACAGCATCCAGCACAATAAAACACCCAAACAATGAAATTTGACAATTCATTCTTTGGTTCGCATTTGGAGATCTTAATTTCTTTTTAACCCTAGCAAGCCTTGTGTGTCCAATAGACTCAATTCGATCTTCCTAAGGTCATCAAATGATAGGAAATTTACTTTCTGCCCAAGCATCAAAGTATTCTTCTAAATACATCCTCTACTTACTACACCAAAAATCTCTCTCATTTTGAATTTGTATATATTGAGAAAAACATAGTTTTGTGGCACAAAAGCCTGCAATAAGTCTAGCAGACTCTCTTGTTGTTTCATATATATCTCATTACTGACATGCTTTGTAATTGATGCATTTGCCTGACTAGAGTTTCGGGTTATTATTAGCAATTGTCTGATAGTGACTTCTACTTTTTTGATTGTTACTAGTGAGAACTGTGTGTACCATTCTCGCTCCTGACATATCTTTAATATCATTGCATAAAACACTCTCATTACTTCGTGTGTTGCTTGTATGTTGCATGCATGCACATTCTGTATGTGGTCTTTTGCAGTCTAGTTATTTACATGTAGTCAATAAACAGTTATCACAATTAAATACAGGGGGACTTTCAATCTCTTCTTGAACCAAGTATTTTCATTTTAGTTGTTATCCGCACGATTGATGGCTAATTGATGCTAAGATAACATGCCTTAATTTAGATATTAAAAATGAATTTTATGCAACATTTTCAGTAAGCAATAGTGATTACAAACCCCAAAACGATTCTAGCAAAGAGTACAGTGCTAGTGTCAGAAGTAATTATAGTGACATTGTTTATGAATGTGAAGACACTGTCATTACAACCAATGATAATGAACAATTTATTGGAAAGGACATGCACGAGTAGTCCAAAATAAAGAATCAAATAACATCATAAAGATTGCAACATCTGAGGTTGTGCTTCCACAAGGTACAATAAAAGATTCTACCAGGGACGTATTGTGGAATACAAAATATGGGTCTCCAATATTTCAAGCCACTTTGAGTAGAGAAGAAACAAAGAGCTCCTCCTTTTCCTTCGCTTTCACGACAAATCAAGAAGTGTGTTGCAGAAAGCAAATATACACTAATTCGTGCCACATGAGAAGCAGACTGCAAGATCTTAACTACACATTATCTTTCGGGGTGCAATAAACACTACTGATTAATTTGGGCCATTCCAAGAGTGATGGACTTTCCAGCAATTCATGGCTTCAAAGCCAGATACATATGGCTTGAAGATATTTTGGGCAGATTTTAATTCCATTCATTGAAAGGTTTGCCTATTTTAGGAAAGGTGTGCACACATAGGAGCCACAAAATAGAAACTTCAGTGGTACTCCACTTCACCTTATAATGCTAACCACAGAAACGAAACATACAAAACCTTTTTACATACTAAGGCCAGGGCAAACAATTATTGTAGAGTAAATGGATGTGGGTACTCTACAAAAAACAACAACAAAGCTTGCATTTGTTCGGTATTCCAACTATTTAATTGGTTCAACACCTCAATAATTTCAGGAAAAAATTCACTCTCATGCCATTTGTTACTGCACCCAATTAAGAAACTATGTTTTTCAGCAACAAAGATCATTCTAAGGATATTATAGAACAAAATCCAAAATGTTAGACAGAATGTTATATTAAAATGAAACAAGGGCATACTCAACAGTGTAGATCAAATAACACATGCCCCTGTAAGAGAAAAATAAACCTGTGGCCTTCTGTATTTTTTAAGAATCTGACTGATGTTTTTGGAGTTGCTGTGTATGTCATGTGGCTCATGTTGAATCCAGAATGTAAGAAGAAAGCAAACCAAAGACAAAGACTTTCCCTCTCACACTTGGCAGAACATCCAATAGATCCTCAAATAACAAGAAGATCCCTACTTGGATTGAACTGAAGCTCAAGAACTGCAATGGAATGTACAGTTCCTCAGTTTTCTAAGGTTCTCTGGATTACTCATCTATGCCAAAGAGAATGCAATAACAAGTAAAAATATAACCGAGTCCAGCAGACTCACCTTAGGCTTGCTTATTTCGCTGAAAAAACACTTGAGCCTTCTAGGGTTAAGAACTCAAAATTGTCAATGAATTGTTTTTTCCAGTGTGGTCTAGCCTTTATACAAAATTAGACCACTCCATCACTATCCCATTGTAAGAATAACCAATAATAAAAATTTCATTCAAAAACATTACTATAATCTGAAGTCTACGATAAGGATAACAAATAATACACAATCCTGACAATCCAATGTCAATAATTATCGAAAATTCTGATTAAAAGAACCTGAACTTAATTTACATAATCATTAACTAGTTAAACTTGTCAATATAATAACAATATAACCTGATGATACAATTCATTTGTAGGAGTAATTCTGAATTTTAAATTAATTTCTAAAGAAAACCGACATTACAGAAAGGAAGTTTAAAACTGAACATTGTCTAAAATAGTAAAACATTTTCTCATTGGAAACAATAATGAGGGAAACATGGAATGACTCAAAATGGAGTACTTATCCAGCTCTTAAGTTTTGGAATTCTCAAGAATTGGTTATTACCCAAATAAAATGGAAACTTTACACTTCTTACAATTGTTACAATTCATGTAATTTCAAAGAATGTGTTATTTAATGGCAATTTGATACAAGGACTACTCAGCTTCTAAATATGGTATGGTATTGAAATGTCCATGTACATTGTCCTGGAGTAAGAAAAAATAAATGATGAAGTACAGATGCAAGAGAATGACACCTGAGAATTGTGTATTTTACAGATCCTGCACTCTTATCACCTTCTGCACCCTTCTGAGAACTTGATATTTCACCCAAATGATCAGGAACTGAGTAAAAGAAATCAATTCTGAAAGCTTCCTTGGAGTAATCTTGAAATTACTTTTATTATTATTCAAGTTAATAATTTTCTTCACTCCTATTAAACATTGCAATGTGAACTGTAGAACAATAATTGCATAATTAATACCTTTTAACCAAAAGAACATATTATTGCTGTATTAAAAATGTACACAGTAGTTTAATCTATGTATTTTCTTTACAATAATAAAATTTAGAAGACAAATATATCTAAGCAGAATATTTGTAAAAGAACAGTGCTTTCTAGAAAAAACACATATTTCTGTTCTTTACAAACTATAAAATCTTCAAATTCATATTTTATCTCGTATGTAATTACAAAATTATAAAAAATATCCTCACTCTTCTGAAGTTACAGAATGTTACAGAAAATGAGTAACTGCATTAAATGAAGTTTTCATTCTGAATTTGATAAGCAAATATCTGAAAACAATAATCATTTTAATATCCATGATACACAATTACAAAAAAATAATGCTTACATCTGTTCAACAACTGCAAACATCCGATTGAATTGTGAGTTATTATCAAACTCTAAATCTCAAAATCACACTTTAAAATAGTTTTGTGTCCCTTGTGTGTTTGAGTGCTTCCATTCTCAGATTTGGAAGAGTAAAACTACCAATATTCTTGTAAGAGAGAGACCTAACTGGACCTTGCATTTCCAATTTCCAAAAATAGATACTAGTCTCATGCTTGAAAGTTTTTAAGTTTCAACTCAATCCACTTTATGATACGTAAATTAAAAAAGTACATTAAATGATTTCTTTTACTAAGTTTCACTTATCCAAAAGAGATTACATTACATGAAAATATCTGTAGCCAGAATAACTTAACACTCATGTTTTACTCCACATTATTAAATATTTTGGAACTTGAAACTTCTAACAAGCATACTGGAAAGAGGATATTTAACAGAAAAATAACTTGTTAGAAAAGTCAGACTCATTTGGAAGAGCACTTTCTTATACTATTTAATAGACGTATATGAAATACTTGAACATGGCAACAAGCTGGAATACAAGAATTGGCTACACAAATCACAGACTAAAGAAAGTACCTTTCCTCTTTCTATCCTATTATTACAATCATCTCAAGAATGCTGTATAAGTAATGAACTCCAAATGAGAAGTAATCAACAGTAAAACTTGTCTTTGGAGAAAACAGCATTAATTATGATTATGAAATCGGATGTGAAAACTAAATTACTTTCTTTTACAACAAATATTCATCATCATTTAAAATCGAAATTTATAATACTTATTATCATAATAATAAAAGAACACAATTATAAATCATCAAAGAAACTATAACAAAATTAATATCTTTTCTTTCAGGTGATTGTAACATCTACACCATTAACTGTAACTTCTTACATTAGACCATAACATACATAAACATGTCTAAATAAACTTCAGGTATTACTAATATTCCTGTAATAATAAAATTATATGATCTACAGCAGGAAGATCAAGTAAATATTGCAAAAATGTATTCATATGAACAAATCTTTAAAACAATATAGCAATCTTGTAACAATGAGATTGAGAAAATTAAATGGCAATTGTATAATTTTCTCATCACATGCTTATGTAAGAATACACTCGAATCCAACTTCTTCATTCAGTGCCTATCTCTTGTTGGTAGAGTAATTTAAAAGCCTAGAAAACAAATAAATATAATTAATGTAAATAGAATCAAAGAATAAACAAAATTAATGAGTCCAAGTATGTTTTTTCCTTTTTAAAATATTTTGTTACACGAATGCAGTTTATCACTGCAATGGTTTTAATGTAAATCAATCAAACTCACTGTGGTCTCTTTTTTTGTTATAAAGAAGTTTATTGGAGAAAAGTGTCAATAACTACTCTCAGGTGACAAAAGTCATGGAATACCTGCTAATATCACATCGGACATCCTTTTGCCCAGTGAAGTGCAACCACTAAATGTGGCACAAACTCAACAGGTTGTTGGAAGTCCCCTGCACAAATATTGAGCCCTGCTGCCTCTATTGCTATCCATAATTGCAAAAATGTTGCCAGTGCAGGATTTTGTGCATGAACTGTCCTCTTGATTTGGTCCCATAAATGTTCAATGGGATTCATGATGGACTATCTGGGTAGCCAAATTATTCACTCAAGTTACCTAGAATGTTCTTCTAACCAATTGCGAACAATTATGGCCTCTTGTTTGGTGCATTATTATCCATGAATGACTATAAATTGTCTCCAAGTAGCAGAACATAACCATTTCCAGTCAATGATTAGTTCAGTTGAACCAGAGGACCCGCTCCATTCCAAGTAAAAAAGAACCAATACCGTTGTGGAGCCACAACCATCTTGCACAGTGCCTTCCTGACAAATTCTCTTCATTGCTTTATGGGATCTATGTCTCAATCTAACACTACTATTTCCAGTTGTCTAGAGCCCAATCGGTAAAGTCACGAGCCCAGAGGAGGTGCTGCAGGCGATGTCATGCTGTTAGCAAAGGCACTGGAGTCGGTCGTCTGCTGCCATACCCTATTAAAACCAAATTTCATCACACTGTCTAACAGATATGTTCATCATACATCTCACATCGTTTTCTAAGGTTATTTTATGCAGTACTGCTTGTCAGTTGGCACTGACATCTCTACACAAACGCCGCTGCTTTCGGACATTTACTGAAAGTCGTAAGCCACTATGGTGAGTGGTTATGCCTAAAATTAGGTATTCTCACACTCTTGACACTGTGGATATCAGGATATTGACTTCCCTAAGGATTTCTGAAATGGAATGTCCCATGCATCTAGCTCAACTATCGTTTCCCGTTCAGATTCCATTAATTCCTGTTGTGCGACAAAAACATGTCAGAAACATTTTCACGTGAATCACTCGGGTACAAATGAAAGCTCTGCCAATGCAGTGCCCTTTTGTACACGATACTAGTGCCATCTATATATTTGCATATTGTTATCCTATGACTTTTGTCACCTCAGTGTAATAAACAATATGTTAAAACCGATCACATAGAAAATACCCATATATTGCCAAACCTTTACTTGCTTTTCAATGCAATTCTTGTAGTAAACTAAATTAAAATATTAGGAGATTGCAATCATTTCTTCAAAATGTAAAAGAAAGGAGGGGGGTACAGGAATTGCAAGAAAAGGTCTCAATGAATTCTGTAATACCAAGAAATGATAGTGATTTTCTTATATAAGTTTATGGCTCCAATTATTGAAGACAAAAGAGAAGAGTTTATTTCCTGCTAATACTGTTTATTCTTTTCCTTTTTTATACAGGCAATGGCATAGTATTTATTTATATTATTTGATGACACAAACAGAACAAAAATTGGAAATTAATTTAAATTTGGCATACACTAAAATTGCCGATAATTTTAGTGGGAAGTACTAATCATTTGATATATCATTTTCAGATTGTTTGGAATATTGCGTAAAAAATTTTAACATCAAGTTTTTTATAAACAGTATTGGCAAGAAATAAATTCTTTTCCTTTCAGTGACCTAAATAATTGGAATCCTTGAAGTTAATAATTTGTGATATTGCAAGACGAAATCAGAGACTTAGGTAGATGCCATTTGTTAACAAACTACTACTGCTGCTAATGCTGTTAGTTACTTGGCTCTCCCAGGGCTTAGGTAAAGTATTGTATGAAGAGGACACAAAACACTGTTTTGAGTTAATGGAATTGTTTTATGAACAATAAAAGATAACAATTAAATCAAAAATATAAAATTGTTGACAATAAAATACTTTATGAGATTTGTACACAAAGTTAAATGTTTACTTTAGAGAGCAATGTCCTCATTAATAATGAAGCAATAATAAAAAATGTAGAAGGGTAGGTCCAAAAGTTGTCAGCCTGACCTATTTGGTGGATGAATAGAAAAGTTTCAAATGTTGCACTTCGAAGGTGAAGGTTTGAGACACTAGCGTTCATGTTTTTGTTTTTCTGCACATGTTCCCATGGATAAAAGAGAGGACCAAACACAACCAGTATGCCCCCTGTCAAGTATGGAGTATCGGGCAGTGATCAAGATTTTTACTAAAGAAGGCTGTACGCCGTCTGATATCCACTTATGCCTGAACAATGTGCACAGAGACACTTCTCCTCTGTATATTACATTGAAACACTGGGCCAAACGTTTTAAAATTTTTCAGAGAATCTCTGGAAGATGATACACATTCTGGATGCCCGGTGACAGCGATCAAAGATAAAAACCTCACCAGTGTGGAAAACAAAGTTCTGGAAGACAGAAGACTGACGGCAAAAGAAATTGCTATGAGAATGGGCTTGTCTAAAACCACCACCCTTAGAACTATCCATGAACAAGGTCAGTGCATGTTGGATTCCCAAAATTTTCCTGTAGTGAGAAACCAGAATGAATGAACTGTGCTCAAGAGATTTTGAAGGTGTGGGAAGAGAAGAAACATTATTTTCTTAATTCAATTGTCACTGGTGATGAGAGCATGGTCCTGGACTTCGATCCTATGTAGAAAAGAGAACCAATGGAATGACGGCAGGTGGGGCAATCTCTGCCAAAGAAGGAGAAAGTGTGCCAATCAATGAAGATGATGATTGCAACTAGTTTTTGGGATAATAAAGGAATTTTATTGCTTGATTTCAAAGAAATAAATACTTTCGTACATGGAGAATACATGGCAATTTGATCATGAAAATCCAAAACGCCATAAAAATTAAAAGGCACAGTAAACTTTCAAGAGGCATGAGACTCCTGCATGACAATACACTTGTCCACACTTCCATGCATGTGAAAGCTATTATTAAACAATGCGGATTCTCCCAACTCCTCATCCACCATACAGTCTGAACTTGGCCCCGAGTGACTATTTTTTGTTTTCTAAATTGAAGTCTGACCTTCGTGGACGCAAGTTTTGCAACGATGAAGAGGTCCAAGCAGTTGTCATGAAGTTTTGATTATTTTGAGAGCAAAGATAAGAAATTCTGATGGAATAAATATGTTAATTCCATGTTTTGAAAATGTATTCCACGTTATGTAATAAACCTATTTCGTATATTTTCATGTTCCTTCCTACTTAGGCTGAAAACTTTTGGACCTACCTCTGTACGTTGCAAGAAATCAAAAATAAGAAATTAATGAAAGGCCATATTTCTCAAGGTAATGGCATGGAATAGAACTGAGTTCTTGTAGGCCAAAGAGCTGAATGATTTCTTAAATACCTGGTGAATAGCCACAATCCATGAAGATGAGACCCTCCGATGAGGCTCTGGGGCACTCAAAAGCTTCAACTTCCTGTTATTTAATTCATCATGAGCGTACACAATCTCAACACTACTTATTCCTGGAATTCAAGATGCACACAATAATAAAGCTTCACTTTTATCATTTACATGAGCAAGAATTCATAAACAATTTATTTTAGAATACCTTGCATATCATCCTCCAGGTCATCTATGCATAGAAAATGAAAGCATTATTTTGACATAAACATTACAGTTTTAAAAAATTATTCTTTGCTAAAATTGTATTTTTATGAAAGATGTTGCATGTATTCGTTATTGATTTTATTTTTTACTTTTTTACTACTATCTGTAAGTGCTCTCAAAGACTATTAATTTAGTTGAGTAGATGGTAAAATGAGCTATCTTCTTTTTGAAGCTAAAAAAAATTACATAGGAGTAATTTTTGAAAAAGCTAAAGAACACATCAAAATGGCATTTAATTCAATGAATTTAGCACTATCCGTACAAAAAATTAAAAAAAAAAAATGAAGCTCTTTCTGTAAAAAATTTGTTATTATTGTAGTTAATTATAATAATTTAATATTGCATATAAAAAACACAGAATTAAACAAAGAACAGATTGTGAAGGACAAATTTGAATTGAAGAAAGATCCCCATCTTCAATATTGTTCCTCGTGTAGGGAGATACCCCAAAAATTTAAAACTTTGGCAATTTTCAAAAATTTAGTAGTAAACATGAAAATCAAACCTATGCCATCTTCTTAAGTGTATTCCACTCTCTTCCTACAATAAGTTGAAAGAAAAAATTTGGAGCCATTTTTGAGAAAATTTTGAAAATGTCCAAGAGGCTTGAAGAAAAGTACCCCCAAAATTTAAAGAACTTTCTCAAAATCCCAGGCTTCAAGCCAGTGCAGATAGGCAAAATTTCTACAAGTAGTTTAGGAGGTAGTGTTGTTCACAGATGGGCTAACAGATGACAGCTGAACAAACATTAAAAAAAAAAAAAAAAATCGAAGGTTTTGCAGTATTAGGGTATCCCAAAACATCTTTCTGTTGCAATCTCAAAATCGATTTTTGGCAGGATTACATTCCTTTCTTTAACTATGAACTAGAATAAATATCCATATGTATATACTTCTGTATACGATAATGTGAAAATGCAGTATTTTGATTAGTCAAATTTGTCACAACTGTATTATTCAAATTTTATAGTATTTGCTTCCTACAACTTGATTTGCTGTGAGGGGAAGAGAAACAGTAGAGTTAATTTATTTTAATTCAGATTCTTAAAAAACAATGTTTTGACAATCTTATTTATTTATTTATTTATATTGGTTGTGGCTAATAATATTTCTTGACATCTTAAAATGAATCTTCCTTCAAGAATGTGTAAGAAAAATCATAAGAAGAGCTTGATTACATCTAGTGTGCAATATCAACATTGGGATACATCATATACAAGTCATTTTCACAAACAAACTTCAATTCCATTGGACACAAATTTTCAATTTTTCTCAGCACAATTTACTTGGAAGTGTAACGTTTAATTTCACAACGTGCTTTTAAAAATTCCACTTATCTTGTAAGCTTTATTTCTTCAAATTATCTCACAAACTATGTTACCTAAAATTACATAAAACATATTGACTTTGAAATGGTTGCGAGTCAATTGTTTTTTTATTATTTAATTAAACTTGCTTTTTTTGATCAATTGAGTTCCATCATGATCATGCAAGGCTGAAATATTTTGGACAGACAACAATTTAAGTGATTTCTTTCATTATTAACCAAGATATGATGCACTGAAGTAAAAAATATAAGTAGACATCAACATTTATACAATAAAAATTAAATATTTATTATTTTATTCAATTATAGTAGTTTAATAGGATTGTTTGTATAACAAAAAGATGCACTTTGAAAAGTTGACAGTTAAAGTAAAAAAAAATTGAATTTACATAATTTTGTAAAAAACATTTTCACGATATCTTGCTGCCTGAACACAAGCTGCCTGAACACAAGTGCCTGGTTGAATCAACATAGCCAATTGTAATTCCTGTTAATATATAATTTTTCGGATAAAAAAACCTTTGGAATAAAGAAAATTTGCCACCCAGTGACCAGTGCCCACAGTGCCCATGCCAAAATCCACCACTGGGTTCGATCCATAATGGAATTTGGAGTAGCTTGCTGGGATTCTCATACAGATCTGATTAAAGCATTAAATTGAGTCCAGAAAAATAGCAGCTAAATTCACAAACAGAAACAACAGGGAAAATGTCAAGTGGGAATCATTAGTTACACGAAGAAAGGCAGCACAAGCACGACTGTGTGTTCTCCTCAAGGCATACACAAAGCAACAGGTATGGAAAGCTATCAGTGAAAAACTTGAAACCCATGCTACTCAAGTAAGGGTGACCATTCACACAAAATAAAATACAGAAAACAGAGAGCAGATGTAGGAAAATTCAGCTATGTGAAAAGGACCATTGTCGACTGAAACAATTTACCTGCAGACATGCTGGCGACCTGTCCCAGAAGCATGTCAATATGCATTTAAAATTTCTTAATAGCAAAAGAGCAGAGTACAGTGAACACCAACAAAAGTGTGGGCAAAGTGTGATGAACCGTTAATGAGTAAATTACTGGTTACCAAAGAGAAATGCAGTGAAATGAAGTAAAGAGTAGACTACAGAGTAGAAATGGGCATATTTTATCATTTTCTTTATACTTGTCCATTTGTGTTTTCATTTTATTTCATTCTTGTTTGTTTATTTGTTTTTGTATTTGATTTTTTATTTTATTTTTTTATTATTATATTATATTTAATTAATTTTTTTAAATTGTGTGTATTGCTTGTTGTCACTTATTATTATTATTATTATTATTATTATCATCATTATTATCATTATTATTATTATTATTATTATGATCATCATCATCATCATCATCATCATCATCATTATCTGCCACTGAGCGTACACTCATTTGCAGTAGTAAATTAGTAGTAAAATAGTTACTTTACAGACTACCAAATATTTTCACTAAATTGAGAATATATTGTTCTTAACAACTTCTCATAATGATAGCGTTTTTACTTATGGTTGTAAAAATTTAAAAACCGTGCTTTGATTCAAGTTTCTTCAATACAACAATATGATATCAAGAATAAAAATACCTGAGTTTTCATCTCTTGATAAACCAACTGACTTTATTTGAGTAAGTTCAACTGGATCCAAGTTCTTGGTAGAAGTTCCATCAAATATTAAATATCTAGAGGCAATAGTTAAAAACATTTAACACATGTTCCTAAAACTTTTATTTGACAGAAACTATTAAAAAACACTGTCAACATTACCTGTGGTCAGACGACAGTCTGCAAATGACACTTTCAGAATTTTTATCAATTGAATGTATCAAAAAGGTAGCACCTATTAAAATATAAAAACATATACATTTAAATGCAAATAGTAATAAAAAAAAATCTTTAGGCTTTGCTCCTTCCAGAACCCAACTATAATAAAGTGATTTATTAAGAAATTAAAGGATATTGGTGGACAAAAAAGTGAAAATTTCAATTGGTCAATATTTCAACAACTATAGGATACTTGAGCAATCAATATTTGAGTCAATATTTTTCCACTGTCAGAGTTTACTAATAAAATAACACAACTAACATCAACAATACTCCACCACCAAGCACCATGTTGTTGTTTTCCACCATCATTACAAGAGTTAATAATGTCATTAATCTCTGATAAATTATAGTTGGTGGCCATTAAAATTAATTATGTACAAAGAAGTCTTATCCAAAAAATCAGGTTCTTGTTCCTGCATGCCAAAAGAACGATTTCAATTATTTTTTAGTCATGCTGATCTCTAATTATGTTCAAGGTAAAAAATATGCTTTGTAATGTACTGGTATTGGTTCATCAATGTAAACAAATAGCTAAATTTCAGGGAAGAAAAAAATTACAGAAAGTAAATGTAAAAATACAAACCATTTGTAAGGGTTTTTAACTGACGTTCAAAGAAGTCATTTTCTTTATTAGTTACAGCAGCACATTTCTCGCACACTCTCACAGGATCCACAAAACACATCCTTGGTAATCCAATTCTTGTATCACAACACGATCCACAATAAATGCGGCCACAGCGCCTGCAATGATGCTGCAAATATAATCATTATTAGCACATGAATAAATCATTCGTATTGAACCAGTAGCCTAATAAATTTAAATAAATAGTAATGCATGCAAAGTACTATATTTTATTGTTTACAATACTCTGCATTATTGGCAAATAGACAACTTTTTTTTTTTTTCCCTTCCAACTATAGCGCTAAAAACAAACAATTTTACAATGAAACAATTTTGCTTCTTTAGAGTCCCAAATTGCAGGGTTTCTTTCACCAGAAAAACTGAAAAAACATAGCACTAACTGTTCATGAAAACATTCAGGGGCGAAAATTTTTTGAATATCCCCTCCCAAAATTCATCCCAGGATCCACCCCTGAATATGTAGATTACATACAAAAGGCTATCAAAATTATAAAGTAATGATGATGGAGAATTTACGTTACAAGACAGTTCCACATTACAAATGCGAGAAATTCAGAGAAACAAATGAAACAGGAAGCTCAAAAAATATTATTTGATTATAACTAATTTTTTTGTTTTTTCACATTAAGACTGAATTATATAAATGTTTCTAGTCTCAACATATAACTCGTATCATAAAAACTGTTCTTTCTGAACTTTGAAGGTAGTACACATGAGTCTTCAATTAAAATTCTAAACTTTCTTTCAAATTTTAATATTAGCAATACTGTATCAACAGTTATTTTGGGAAAAGTCACTGTTTGAAGCACTGTGTTCTTCCCATTAAAGAGACAGTTGTGAACCACAAGAAATACATAAGTGTTTCCAATGTATAAAAAGATGTTAAATGTCAGAGGCAACATGGTGAAATAATTTCAGATCAAAAGTCTATATGTTAATGAACTTGGAACAAGGTGTTTGATTTAAAATTGAAGTTAATGAACTCCATCATGAATCTCACACCAAAGACAGACTTCTATTCATGCTTAAGTAATAGGACTGCATGGGCAAACGATCTTCAGTCTTGATTTGAATACACTGCTAACAAATAACTCTCACGCCTAGCGAAAGAGAGCTCAAGAAAACTTGAGCAGAAACTGAAGTTACAATTAATGGCCAGAAGCAAAGTAAGGGGCCATCTCAGCATTCACTCGAAGGATCAAGGGAAACTTGACGTAAACCTGATCGAGAGAAGTCATTGACCTTGACAGTCAATAACAATTCTTGTAACAGGTAGATATCAAAATATTACAGTATAATAATCGTTTTAGTAGCAAAGGAGTTTACATTTAATGATTGTTTTGTACTGCTTCAGTTTGAAAATAAAATGTACCTCATATTGTCATTTTACTACTGCTGCTATTACTACTATTACTACTACTACTAATATTAATAATAACAATATTCATTGAACTATTTATTGCAGTGTGCTAAAGCACACTCTTTCATAATTAGTCCTAGTACCTAACAATATTCTACTCACCTTTCTTCGAAGAAAGTCAAACTTTGTATTACAATCGGAGCAATGCTTAATCTGAAATGAATATCACAAGTAAATTATGTTGGGTACTATATCTAATACACTAATCATAAGCAAAATTATTGTACAAACATCTTTGTCCGGCGTCCACTGAGGTTCGTTTAGATGAAAAGGACTGCCTAAATTATCATCAGCTGTCACAATTCTTAAACCTGATTTGGACCGAATTAGTTTCTTTGTACATGAACTCTCCATTCTTACATTGTTTAGAAAATATTTGAAGTAAAGTTTCTCGCACGTACACAAATCGTGTTCTTATAATATACTTGACACACCGATGTTAACGGAGGTCGTGATTTCACAGGTCAAAAACATATTCTGGATATATTGTACTGATCGCATCAAAAGTTGCTTATTTAGAAATAGGGCACCTCAACAGCTATTTCATATTCCAGTGTAGTTCAAACGAAAACAAACTTGTTCCACACTATACTCTAGTTTTCTACAGGGAGAATTAGGCTTACTACAGCTTATACAACTCATTAAGCTGATAATAGCCATTACAATGACTTCCTTAGGGTCTACCCACGTTTCACTCCCTTCAGAACTAGAACCATCTGAACAGATCAGCCAGTGATCAGCGTTCATCAGACCAACCAGCTGATATGGCTGATATGTCATTTGTCCCCCACGGCTTTCTGGAGGCATCAGTCTATCACTTTAATGTTTTTTCAAATCGGAAATGATGCCATAACAGAGATTAATATCCATTATTTCTAAATAAGAGTAAACCAGGGCAAATTGTGAATTGGTGGTATTTTATAGCGTGAAATTGTACGGGACGCGTGAGCGTGACTGTGACGCGATGACATTCTGTCATCTGGTAGTTCGCTCTGAAAATTGGTTGAAAATTGGTCACGTCTATGGAACTCTAAGAACTAATGTGAGCATATGTATTTGCGGGTACAAAAATCTTCTGAGGGAAATGTTAGTGTGCAGTAAATGCTAGCTATGAACATGTTTTCATGTGTACGTGAACATATCTTATTTTTGTTTAATTTTACAGGCACCAGAATGACAACGCATTTTTCTTTAAATTAGTGGCGCCAGGATCATTTCGAAGAAGAAAATAATGGAGAGTAATGAGTGTTCAAACATGTGTTCGGAAGAGAGACTAAACCCACAACTTGCACAAACAGTGAGTGAAAGTGACACTGCAAGACGTAATACTTACCGAAAACGTCCTTCTTTACATAGCAAAGAAAAAGAGGAATACATTAACAAATTAGTGTGTTTATTATTTCTGAGAGGTACCGAGTTTAAAGATTTATATATTGGCTGCAATGTTGATGGAGCAGAATCATTTGGAGATATAATTGTTAAATTTGTGGATGAATGCGGTGATTGTAGGATTTTCTTGTTACATGTTGACATTCCCCCTAGCAATAAAGATGCCTTCAATTTTGTCGATTCTGACATGTGTAATATGAATTTCGTTTTCGAACAAACAAACATGATTATAGAAAATTTTAAATCTCAGAGTACTTTGCAAAACCTTGGTGCCTTAGAAAATTTTGAATTTATATTTTATACAAGTGCCTTTATTTCAGAATCAAACAATTTAATGTGTACAAATAATTACGTACATTCAGTGCTAAATACGGGAAACTCAGAATGTTTTACTTATTTATTTGGTAATAAAGCACATACTGAAAATGCTTCATGTTTCTCAGAGTTACATTTAACTAAAACTTTTTTAAAAGAATTGACTTTAATGCAGAATCCAAATGAAATAACTAAAAAGTTGGAGAAGTTTAAAGAAAATATAAATACCAAAGAACTGATAGAGAAATTGGAAGTACTGGCAAAAAAGCCCACTCAGGAAACTGTTATAGAACTTTATGATGAAGTAGAATGTATGCATTGCTCAGAAGTGGATGAGCAGGTTCTGCCAAAGATTAGAGTCTATACAGGTCAAGCTGATGTAGAGAGGATAAATTATCTTGTAAGAAATGAAATTTTTCATCTAAGCAGTATTAGCGAGTTTGGTATTCACATAATGTTTAATTACATATTGAATGAGATTGAAATATGGCAGAAATCTTGTAACCATTATTTAAAAAATAACTCTGATAAATGGCAAAAATTTATCAGCAAATTAGAAAGTTGCAACCAGATACAAAAACCTTATGTAGAAGATATATCAAATCATGGAATTAGATTCTTTGTTTTTTCTCTAAAGACTATTAAGAGTTGTATACTACAGTTTAGAGTATTAAATATTCTTGCAACCAGTCATGATATTTCTCTAACCTGCTTGAAAGTTCATCAGATACTGGAGAATGTTGCCACTAGGAAATATTTATGGATATCTTTTACTACTTTATTAGATTGGAAAGAGGAAGTGTTTCAAATGTGGTTCAGTGAATCATTCCAAATTCTTGTTATAGAAATCGTAACCAGTAATGATGATTTTAAAAACACTGTAAACGAGATTGCTCAAATACTACGAATGGATGCAAGAAAGTATGTGATTATTATCTCTACTGATACTAATAAGTTTACTTCATGTTTGAAGAATATTGTATTTCCAGATGATTATTGTGAACTGAAGGACAGTTTTAGATTTGCTGATTTAGATGATCAGTCACAAGAAAAAATTTTGGATAGTAAAGTCCAATTTCAAGGACACCCAATTTCTATTGGATCATTAATTGGCTCATCTAATGAATTGAAAGACAGTCTCAAAGCCTCTGTTGTATCTCGGCTAATACGAGATGGTGATGCAGTTGTAATAGGACCTCCTTTAAATGAGAGCAATTCTAGTTATGTTCCACGTACTTTGGAGTTATTGGTTGAACTCGATGTTGGTATTATCAAGTCAATTGCAGAGACAGAAGTATTTGTTGTTAGTGTCACAGCTGTATCTGAATTAAGAAAAATACTTGAAAATGAGTGTATTCAATCTTATTCTCTTGGAGATCAAGTGAATTGCGAAAGCAGGCTCTTTTGTTTGGAAAGCACAACATCAAATGATGAGTTTTTAAGAATTTGTGAACATTTTCCATTTAAAAATATCCATCACTTAATACATAAAAAAGGTTCTTTGTGGTGGAGAGAAAGTAAAGGACAAACAAAATACTTGAAAGATTATTTAATTTGTAGTGAGAATGCAAGGCATATTTGGGAAGTAATTGAAAGAAGTAAATCTAGCGTTTACCAACCACAATCTTTACTTGATTCAGTAGAACATCATATGGTTATCCTTGGAAAATCTGGTGTGGGTAAATCAAGTCTTTTGAGTGCTTTGCAGAAGAATACAAAAACAAAAGAACAACTGCATTGGCTAATTCATTTAAATTTCAATAATGACATTAAATTAATAGTCAATACCAAGAAGGAAGACTATGATTGTGAAATAATAATTCAAATTATGTATTCATTACTCAAAGTTGAACATCATGGATCTGAAGTAGAACATATTTTACTAAGACATGATTTTGAAAAAAGAGGAAATATCATTATTACTTGCGAAGGGCTGGATAGTGTTAATCCAATGTATATTAGTAAGGTTGTTGAATTTATACATGCACTTGATACAATGAAAATTAAAAATATATGGATCACATCAACATTTAGCATGAAGTCTGTTTTGGAAAAATCTTTTAAAATAGTTGTGTCAGAAATTCATCCATTATCATCTGAAGAACAAATATTCCTTCTTCATTCATTGTGGGAAAAAACATGTGCAAGAGATAATCAAAAACAGTTGCTTTATTCAGAAGAAAGGATAAAGAATTTCAGTGCTCGTCTTCAGGGTGTGTTTATTTCCAACAAAGCTTCGTACCTCTCTCTTCCTCTTATATGTCTCATGTCTGCTGAAATATTTGAAACACATTTAATAGAATATTTGTCATCTACTTCTGTGGACTGGCTTGAGAATATTGATATTGCTCAAATATATGAGAAATTTATAGACCAAAGAAGATTGCATTTTCATAAAAATAATGTACACACAAATATTATATGTGAAGTGCATGAAGAACAAGAGGAATTCTTTTTGAATAGGCATATGTTGTGTGCCTTGTTTTCCCTTCTTGATATTACAGAACTGGGTCTGCTAAACCTTCTAGATATTTTTGAAAATGTATCCAAACTTGTGGAAGACATTAAAAGATATGGAATTATTCAGAGTATTGTCAATAAAAAGCCAATTTTTTTGCATAGGACATTTGCTGAATATTTTTGTGCAATGTGGTTTTCAAAGAACATAGATAAAAGTAGAGAATTCTTGAAGCGTAAATTATTTGATTCCAATTTCAAATCAGTATTACAATTCTTTGATTATTTTTTAATAAAAGGACATGAACTACACTCTGCTGTTTTGAAAAATGAGGACCAAGCAATAAAAAGTTTGTTGGCATATGGAGTTGATAGTAGTTCAACAGACAAGGGTGGTAGAACGGCTTTGCACCTGGCAGTGGTGTACAGTCAGCCAAGAGTTTCAACATTTCCAATTAAAGGTTTAGAAGGTGATGCACACGATTACATTACAAAATTATTAGTTGACCATTCTATCAATACAAAAATGATTGACAATGTACTTCAGTGGAGGCCTATTCAATATGCTATTGAACTCAGAAAATGGGATGCAATGGATCTCTTACTCAAAGAGCAGGTAGATTTTAATGACCTTGACTGTTTAAAAGAAAAATCTAAAGATGAATCATTTGTTCAGGAGGGTTTACAAATTGGTAGTGAAAAGGGATATTTCAATTTAATTGAAGCCTTTACATGTTGTGGTATAAATATTTCTGAATATGTAATTGAAACTAAAGAAGGACAATTCAGCCTTCTTCACGTAGCAGCTAAATATGGTCAGCTAAAATTAGTACGTTATTTGTTAAGCAAAAGAATTAAAATATCGGTTAAAGATAACAAAGGTATTTCACCTTTGCATCTTGCAGCAAGTGAAGGAATGATAGAGGTGATAGTATATTTACTTCAAAGAGGAGCTGATTTACATTGTACTGATAGAAATGGTAACTCACCAT